ATGGGAAATCTGATGATTTTGGCAGGACACTATAGGCACAAATTATGTAATGAAATGAGCGTAATACATCTACCTGTCCCAGGATCAGGCGGAGTACCCTCCAAATAGGCAAATTTTTATCACTCTTTGATTTTAGCATATGACAACAGTCGCCGATCAAGGCACCGAAATAACGATGTAGAGGTATATCGTGTACAACAACAAGGAGCACAATATGACAATTTAATGCATTCACATTCAGTAAATGGTTTATTGTACGTAGTCGCGTCATTGCAATGAGCAGTATATGGCCACATTTTAATAGGATGCTTCTAGAAGGCAGCATTCATGGTCCGGCAGCAATGTTTCGCTGGGCTCAAATCGATCACGTTCATCAGCGAATCATGATCATCGATCGTCCGGATGCAGCAGACATGGGGATGAGTCTGAAAGTTGTTAGTTTCATGTGATCATCTATTTTTGACAATTATGGCGATCAACTACTTGAAAAATATGTTGTTTGTGCTTCAGCGCAAGTCCGAACTAGTAGCCCGTTTTCAATAGGGTCAAAACTTGATGAATATGATGATAACAATGACGTAACATATGTGGCAGCTGGCACAGCTCCAGTACCCACGTGAGTTTTTGCAGTGACTTCGAAATTTGGTAATCATACTCTTTAAAATTCTTCTATTCTGTTGGATGGCCAATAATTCAAGTTATGATCAGATTTCATGTAAATTCCTGCGGCGCTGCTTCAAGTCACTCGACTGCCGCGCCGATCACCACGTTTGCAGCGCCTGTGATGTCGGCTGGTGCTGCCAGTCATCCTGTATCCACCTATCCACCAGTACTGAATCTTCCCATCGATCAATGTGATCTACGACATTTCGATCAAGGAGTGCCGTTGTTGGGCAGGTTTGCAGATTCCAACGTTCTTTTTTGTATTTCTGTACGTAATACGGTTTTTTCAGCAATACGGACGAGTTATCGTCGTCTGCACAGCTGATGTTTAGTCGAAAAGGCCCAAC